CATCCACATTTTGATCACGTGACCGTGGGGGATGCTGCAGCGGTCCTAAGTGTGAAAAACAAATCCTAAGTCACTTTTTGCAGTGCCGCTGTAACTTTGGACAGTCACTAAATGAACTGCTTTTAAGTCGAGGACCACAATCTGTCTAAAGTTATGACTCCTAAAACGAGACTCCATTTCAGATGATACCATGAATACATTTAACCAGGAAGCAGTATGGAAATGGCCCGACATCCCAAATTAGCCGTCTGTATTGGTATTCTGTGGCAATTTCCATTCCAATTAAGCAGCCTAGCCTTGGGCTGGTACTTCCATTACAACATCACTAATAAATGCTAATCTTATAATATAATCCAAATGGCACCCGTTCCAAGTACAGATAGTCCTCACTTTACAAATTGTACTATAATGAGACCGGAATGTCTGTCACTAAACGATATAGTTGCTAATGAGCTATGTCCAATTTTGCTATGTTTTTTTTGTTTTTTTTTTACTGGGGTCGTTCCCGCAGTCATGAAGCAAATTCAACTTCCTTCGTTGTCTTTGCTTGTCAGAAGCATCCTAACACAATCACGTGATCCTAGGACGCTGCAACTCTCATAAATACATGCCCGTTGCCCAGCCCCTGAATTTGGATCACACGATCATGCAACGCTGCAACAATCTTAAGTGCAAGGACAGATTGTAAGTCACTTTTGGTCAGCGCAATGCCGTTGTTAACTTTGAACAGTTGTTAAATGAATGAATGCAAGTTGAGAACTATCTATATTAAATATGCTAAAGCACGTCCGTTACAAACCAGGTTTTGGCATTATTTGTCTTGTTGTTGAGGGGACGAACAAGCAAATCAGAAAACTTAAAAAATTTTGGCAATTACAGATGCTCCTTTCATATGACAATTTAGTCACCCATTTTTTTACTACATTTCTCAATACTGTATAATTAGTTGCATGCAGCCATTACCTGGGCAGCTATTAAAACATTCTGAAGCTGTTTAAATTATAAACACAAAAAAGGGCAGGATTTTTTCAGAATTTTAAAGACCCAAAACTATGCCATATATAAAACACAGCAAGTAAAGAACGAGAACAGTTTAACTAAGCTCAGAAAGCAGTGAAATAAATTAAATGATTGGGACATAGAGACTTGAATGAGTCATTGCTGCAACTTTACAGCAACTCTCCACTTAGGACAAATGTCCTTCATGCTAGGCTTCTCAAAAAGCTTACGTGTTGTCAAATTATACAGTATCCTTCACTTTGGTGAATATACTTTATCTGAAAACATGACAGGACTTGCATGTTTTTAAAGTACGCTGGTCATGAAATCCATAAAGAAATCTCACGCAGCGCTAATATGTATGAGATTTTAAATGTAAAGCTTTCTCAGCCTTTTAAATCCATAGCCCTCAGGCCACAATCTTATGTAAGGGATGAAACATCAGGGTGCTGCATGTAGCCTCCAGACCCATTTTGTCAGAAAACTAGACTGCACGGCCCAATTAATGTTGTACATACATATCAGATGATAAATAATAATAATAATAATAATAATAATAATAATAATAATAATAATAATAATAATGATGATGATGATGTCATAGAAAATGATAAAATTAAACTACTCTGGGACTTCAGAATTCAAACAGACAAGCACCTGCAACATAACAACCCAGACTTAACAATTGTCGATAAGAAAGACAAAAAAGTCTGGATAGTGGACGTGGCAGTGCCTGGAGACAGCAGAATAGAAGAGAAAGAACTGGAGAAGATAACAAAATACAAAGACCTCCAAATAGAAATAGAAAGACTGTGGCAAAAGCAAGCAAGGGTAGTACCAATAGTAATAGGCTCCTTGGGTGCAATCCCAAAACAACTGGAGCACCACTTGAACACCATTGGCATTGACAAATTCGCTATTAGTCAATTGCAAAAGGCGGCCTTATAGGAACTGCTTCCATCCTGCGACGATACCTGTAATACCATCAAACATCCACATCTGCCTATCCCAGGTCCTGGGTAAGGACTCGATAGGTAGACAAAATGCCAAATCCAGTCTGAACATCTGGCTGACTGTTCGATGATCAATAATAATAATAATAAAAGTTGGAAGGGACCTTGGAGGTCATCGAGTCCAACCCCCTACTCAGGCAGGAAACCCTACACTATTTCAGACAAATGGCTGTTCAGTCTCTTCTTAAAAACTTCCAGTGTTGGAGCATTCACCGCTTCTGGAGGCAGGTTGTTCCACTGGTTAATTGTTCTAACTGTCAGGAAGTTTCTCTTCCAAATAGATTGCACTACAAATTCTCAGATGTCTCCATTAGCTCCCCAAACACAAGTCACTCTCAAAAATTGTGTTAGTTAAACTGCCAACTGGCAGAGGGAGTTTGTATGGATTGATCCTTGTGCCAGGGGGGAGATCACAAAAAAATAAAAGAACAAAAAGTTTGTAATCAAGGTAATCACTTCACTGAGCAAATTCCATATGATAGATACTGCATTTTGCTAGCTGAAATACTCTACAAATAAACCATAATTAGTTATCATTACATGCACGCTATGATTTGGATTAAGAACGGCAGTAATAGAAAATATGCTGTTTTACAAATGAAAGATATAAGATATGCATTCTGCTTATCTCCAGCAAACATGAAGTGGGAAAAGAGATTAGAAAGTATATCTTGACCTTATTCAGTTTCATTTCTGAATGCCTGACATTAAATTGTTTAAAACCCAATTCTTTTAAACATTAAGATGAAGAAAAAGTAGAGTTTACAAGTTCATTCATTATTTTGCAGTAGAAAGATAAATCTCAAGTTCCTTCAGACAATATTCAACTGCAAAGTGATGCAAGATAATGAAACGTACAGTACTTATCTACACTTATCTACAACCTCTATTGTTCCTATGATTGAACGTAGTCTGGGGTCGAGGTGGTAAAGGCTTTCTCAGTGGGCAAGGAGGCAGTGGAGCTTACAATGTCTAGTAGGCAGGAAGAAGGCAAGGATGGACCCTTCCTTGCAGTTCATAGAGTATATCTCTAATTATGCAGATAGTCATTTTAGTCCAGAAGATTCGGTCTATAGGCAAACAACAATACAACTACTCAGAAATACATCCACGTGTCATTCTTGTTTTGTGCAGTCTGACATCAATCTTGAGACTAAAACTACTATCTGCATAACTATATACTCTGGGAATTGTTAGGGAGGGTCTGTGCTTGCCATCTTTCTGCCTGCCAGACATTCTGCTGTCTTTTTACCTTCTGCAAAGCAGCCTCTCCTTCCGGAAACTCCAGACTACATTCAAACACACTTTCCTAATTTATTCCAACAATGCTGTTAGGCAGGTTCAGCTGAAGGAAAATGCCAGGTTCCAAACTCTGGGTGGGACTATTATTCTTCCTGGTCCCACATTGTGGGATTTTTAGCAGCATATACACACAACCTAACATTGCCAGCTTAGATGAATCGCAGTTCTGCTGTCTCTTATTTTACAGTGTTTTCCCACTTGTCTTTTAGTGTCACATGAAAGCCTCAAAGACTGGTCTTCACCCGAGAACTGATGCAAATAATCACAGAACAAAACTTAACTGGAATTTCCTTGGATGTGTTGAGAATAAGAACAAACCTGATTACAACCATCACACGAATTAAATGATGGTTTCTATACCATGGAAAAGCTTTTCACACAAGTAGTACTGGAACAAGTAAAAATAAGAAAACAGAACAAGAATTTTCCATGAAGATTTCTTTCCTACCATGGAGACACAGAGAACATGTGGCATTCTTATCCAATAGTTTAACAATAGAATTGTTGCCCAGATGTTTGATTTGGCTGCCTCTTTCCTTGCTTGGCGTATTGTCCTGGCCACCTTGTCTCTGCAGAGTCCAGTTCCAACAACTTCTTGGTCATTTTATTCATTGCTGAACTGTATTACCTTTATAGCATATTCCCATCCTGATTTTATAAAGTTTATAAAGATTTCAGATTTACAGCAGAAAAAGACCATGCAATATTTTTTAAAAAAAACAAACAAACCTTAAACTATCAGCTAATGTAACATTTGGAAGTTTGAGTTCACTGAACATATATGGCGACAAACAGTATCAACTAGGCTTTTGAAATTTATGGAAGGAAAGTCAATAGCTAATGTTACAGCTAATCAATTCTTGCTACTGATACTCAGAGCACTAGGGCACAAAAAAACCAGGAAGTACAATACCATATTTAACAGTTTTCTGTATCCTTATGTAGTCTTTTTATTTAAAGCATCTATACCCTGCTTTTCAACCAGAAAGACTTCCAAAGTGGTTTACAAACTTTTATATATTGTATGTTGTTGTCACTAAAACACTTCTAATATTTATTATTTTAGCTGTTTTATGCAGTGCTCTTCTTTAAAAAGTCTTGCAATAAATACCTGTTTTTAAAACCCTAAAAGATATATTTGAGGTTTTTTTTTTTTTTTTTTTGAACCAGGGACACACTGCGAAGAGCTGGTAATTCATGATAGTAGCCTTACTTGACCTCCACAGGTATGGGAGATTATTATTCCAAATCAGCTGCAACAGATTAAACCAGAATATAAGCAACTGTAACATATAAAGTCTACATTACAACTAAGCATTTATCACCAAATTCTTCTGGCCCAAATCTTTATAATCAGTTTATTCGTTAAAAGTGCCAGCCATTCAAGCATCTTTTAGGTTCCTTCTTATCCCATCTTTTTTTTTTTAAATGTGAATTATACTTGCATAATGAGGGATAAAGGAGAAATAACATAGAAAAATGCCTGGGTTTTGGTTGCCCTAGTGATGCATGGCTTATCAGCATGGTTGCACTTAAACATATTATATCCCAAAAGATATTACACAATTTATATGACAAACAGGAAGAATCTATAAATAATGCACAGAAAGAGTAGCTAAAGAGCCTGAAATCATGGCTTTACTGGTGCTGCATTGCAACTTAAGATATATATATATATTTTTCTACCTTTCAAATACGACAGATAACTCATTGAAATCCTTGATGGTCCAGAAGATTTTCTGATTTTTCTCTTTTTGCCAAATGATTGCTTTCTTGTAGCTGGAAAAACTATGCAACAAAACCCTTACAATAACAAGGGCCAGCCTTTCATCCCTTTTTATTCACTGAACGGGCGAAGCAACGTAGTAGATTCTAGATCTGACCCCTTTGTTAAATCAGATCAAGCTTGCCATGCTTGTTATTCTAAAGTCAAAATGCACATCCCCACTTATTGCTTTGGAAGTCAAGAGAAAAGCCAGAGAGCTGTCATAACTTCAGGACTGGATTTTAAGACTGCCATTCATATTAAAGACCCTTCCTTTCCAGTTCTTCCAGTGCAGCTTGGATTCGGTAAACTGCCTCTTTCCTTGCCTGGCGCACGTTGTCCTGGCCACCTGTCTCTACAGAGTCCAGTTCCAACAACTTCTTGGTCAGCATTTCTTCCAGTAAGCAGAAGTCCTTGTCTGTCTTTTTACCCACAAATTCATCCACTTCTTCTTCCAACAGTTCAATTCCCTCCATAACTTGTGCAATCTTCTGTATTCCAGGCTGCACATTTGTTGGAGGCTGTACGTTTGTTTGAGAAGCCGATCCACTGTTAATTACAGACGGTTTCCTATGTACATTATCATACAGCTGGGGCTGTGCACTATACTGCACTTTGGGGTTAGAAGCAGATGGCTTAACATCAACTTGTGCTGGATTGTAGTCATTCGTGGTCCCAGAAGGCAAACTGTTGGCTTCAGGAAGATAACCATGTTGGTTAATTCCTTGATCCATTTGGCTAAAAGAGTCCTAAATCAGAAAAAAAAGCAATTTCAACAACTCTATCAATTCCATTTCCCCCCCACCCTGTCTCGAAAATGCTGCAAAAGGTGGCCAATGTTGCCTTAGGTGGCCAGTGTTGCCAGCCTGCCTCTCTGCATATCTGTAGGATCTTCATGCTCAAGATGTCAGCGCAAAAAGGCTCTAGTACTGTGGATAGGCCCTGAACTTTGAACCTGTCAGAATGACATCACAATGTGCCATGATTCAATAGCCTAAAACCTAGGTGACCTTTTTATGGGTTCTATAGATTAGATTAGATAACAATTATTGTCATTTTTTCCTGTGGGCACAATGGCACATTAAAAAAATGAAACTTAGTTGCTTCCTCTCAAAGTGTACACATACATAACACACATTTAAAACATACTATATACAACATATGTATAAACCTATACCCTTACATATAAGCATACTTACTATAGCATAGTAAACAGTTTCCCAAAAACAAGACTGTAAGAGCTCACTAGGCTAAGTGCTTCCTTCCTCACACACATACAAAATTGTCAACTGGAAACAGCAATGAAGCTGTAGATGAACATGTAAGCCGAACAGCTACTACGCTGAAGTTTTGCAAGTTTTAAATCTATCAAAGATGAGCATCCCCAATTACTTTTCCAACTAGGTTTCTTTTTAAAACTTAAATTTTATTGTTACCGATTTCTGCAATATCAAAGCATTTCAACTATGATCAAACAAGACTTCTCCAGTATTTTGCCCAAATGCTCTTGGCAAAATATTTCTATATCAATATTTGTTGAATATTAACTCAGAAAGGTGTTGCATCTAATGGGGTTCTTCCTATGATATACTTGTAGGGCACAAATCCTAAAGCAGATGAAAAGAAGGGAGTTACTGATCTTGAATTAATAATCCACCAGAAAGAGATAAACTCCTTGTGTATTTAAAAAAAACAACACATACCTTTGGATTGTTATTTGGGGGGTGTAGAGCAGACACATCATTGCTAGGCCAAGATTCTGCAACATACTGGTTCCCTTGCCCTGCTGGCGGAGGGGGCCAACCATAGGGAGGCTGTATTCCATAAACACCAGGGGTCTGCCAAGTTGCGTCTTGAAGTCCTGGTTGAGGAGGGGGCGGCCTCTGCTGTGGAACGCTAGGATTGCAATCCCTGTATGGATAGGGTGGGAGCGGAAAGCCTGGGCCCTGCAGAAAAAGGGGGGATAGAGACACTTTCTTTAATCACCCCAGGAAAACTCCTCACTTAATAAAACATTAAAAGACATTTCTGGTAGCAGTGTTTCCATGGCACTAATTAATACTTCAATAGAAAAACAATATTCCCCTTATGTGTTCGTGCTTCAAAAGGCCTGGTCCTTTTGAAGCACGAACACATCCGATTATGGCAGTGATTCTCAACCTGTGGGTCAGGACCCCATTTGGGGTCGAACGACCATTTCAAGGGGGTCGCCAAACAACGCAGTCCGCCATTTTTTTCCCCTTTTCCTTAGCTGTGCTACTCCTTTTTATTCTATTGGCTTTTGAAAGCCAGTAGAATAGACTCTTTTGAATAGAGTCTAATTTTATTGGCTTTCAAAAGCCAATAGGAATTGTCCAGGCTGTCTCTGCCCTGCTGAGCCCGCCAAAAGTCCCATTCTGCAAATGGTGCTGCACCAGTTGAGTAGTCCTCAACTTACGACCGGTTGAGTAGTCCTCGACTTACGACCGGTTGGGGGGGTTGCGGCATTAAAAAGGTTGAGAACCACTGGATTATGGCCCATCCATGCGGGGTGTCATACAGCTGAGTAGGCAATGGTTTGTCCTCCCATTTCCTTATTCTCATGATCAGAACACATGCCAGCACTTTACAGTAGATGCTTCTCAGCACCACGTGTGCTGAGCATCTTTCGGTATTTGAATGCTCCTTTTCGATTTGTTGTCTCTACATCTCTCCTTTAAAAAAGGGGGAGGCAGTAATTGAAACGGATAAAATAATATGGCCTAGAAACCAAGAAAAAAATGCCAGGCCTCATTTAGGCAGGAAAGCCAGATGGGTGACTTTTGCCAGTCACTCTTATAGGTTTGTTGTTGGGGAGAGACTAGGAGGCAGGAAGGTGTGTTTGTTGTCTTAAGCTAACCAAACACACACACACAAAAAAACAAAATAATGATTCATATCAGATATTTACTTGTGGAGGGGAGTATCCTGCTACCTGCCTCCTCACCATGGAGCCTTCAGTTGGATAGTCCGGAGGAGGATAATTCCAGTTGGATGCTGGTGATGGAGTTCTATATATGCTAGAAGATTCTGTGGAGTAAGTGGCAGGAGGGTGCTCTGAAGAATAGTATGTGTTTGATTGTGGGAGGCTGGGATATGGTGGCCCTGCCCCAGGAGTTGGGTATGAAGGTCCATAGACACCATTTGTGTAGGAAGAGTCAATTCCCTGGAGGACAAAAAGAGAAACCACTTGAGCCAGCTAGCCTAGCTTAAAGACAAGAATTCTTATTCAAAGACAGTTCCAGAATTATTTGCTTAAGCAGCCTCAGTAAACAAAATGACATCTATTATGATTATTTTGGCTCTTCAACTTTTAGTTACAGACAATATAGATAGAATGTTGCTTGTGAAACAGCTAAGAAGGGGGAAAAAAACAAACTAGAACATATCCACTGCCAGCAGTCAACACCCAGATAAGGAGAGATTAACACCAGACAATCAAGCAGAAAACAATACCCTGATCAAGGAGAAAACCACACCTCCACTTTGCCAGAAGAGAAGCTACTATATATAAACAGAGAACAAATTCCACACTCGCTTGCACTGATGTTGTTTAGTTGGTAATGAAATGTTTGCAAGCAATCAACCAAGCTCAGAAAGCACCAAGGATTCCATAGCAAAAGAAGCTGTTCTATTTATTACTGTTTGCTTGTTTCTGGTAATAATAAAACAAAATGACCCAGTTGGGAAGATATTAAGATCACTGATACTTCTATTATAAAAGAAACTGATTTACATAGAACAAGAAGTCCTGTGAACCACGATGACAGGCTAATAAGCAATCTAGAATAGATTTTACAAACTGTCATTCACGGTGAAATTTCAGGTGCTAAGATAGCTTCTTAAATTTTGTGCCCAGATGACAACTAAATTCTCACAGAATGACGTTACACAGCAGAAACCCTCTGAAAATTTACATGCTGCATTACTTAATTTGATCCTTTTTTAAAATCTTGTTATATACTACCGACTCTCAAACCAGAAGTTTAATTATTTTACAAGAAACCATGTCGAGACAAGATGCAGTACATTATTCCTTTTACTCTACCTGGCCTTGAAGCTCTGATCCAACAGGATATGGATTTGAATAGGAAGCTCTTGGAGATGAATTCCAGTAGTTGGGGGCATACCCAGAATAAGGAGGCTGTTCCTACAGGAAGAACCAATACATTCAATTTCTGCAAGTGATTAGGCTCAAATCCTAGAGTATTTCTAGAATCGTTTTAAAGCTAACTTTTGCAATCGAGGTCAATGTCAAACCATCAAAAAGGAAGTTCAACAGAATGTTATTGGGTCAGAGACAATCTTCTTGTTAATCTATGGCTACCAAGCTAAATTCAGCAACATTTGCTGCTTGTACATTTGTTGTAGCTTGTTGTTGCTGCTGCCTCCACAGTGTAGTTTGCAGCCCGTGTATTCCAGAATTCCAGCCAAGTTAAATGAGGCACAATCGAGGTCCAACAAAATCCACTAGGTGTTGCTATGTGCTTTAACAATTCTAATAAATGCATAACTTGAGTATGACGTCATTTTAATAAACATGGAACAGTTTAAGAATATATATATGTTTCAAGTGGTGACTGGCAGGCAGGCAAGGAAGTCTTTGTTTTATTGATGATACCTTAAGACTCACAACCACGGGCAAAAATTGGATGAGCACATTGTAGAATAGAAGCCTTCCAGTCTTTTCAAGCTTATATCAGGGAATGGAAAGAGCAGGACTTCCTTTTTCATAATGCAAGACCATTTATATTTATATGAATGTGCACTGCCATGATTAATAACAAATCCCAATTTTACCTGTAAAAATCAAATCCTGGAAGGGGTTGGGTGGGTGAGAGAATCAGAGAACAGGTGAATGAAGTCCTCTGCTCTACAGGACTTCCCGTATTACATTTCTGAAATGCTTTACAACATCTTAAAGCTTATCTCATCTGTCGGGTGATCATTACAATACACAAAGAATTAGTAACTTGTGGTGTTAGGTAAATGTCTACATACTACATTCATGTAAGGATATTATAATAATCTGACAGGAATGATCTGGAAATAGTGATTATAAAACAATGCTTTCTTCCAAGCAACAACTAGAAAATCTGTAATTTTTAAATGACAAGAGGTATAAATAAGGAACATATCAGAATAATCAATATGTATCCAAACAATACCTAAACACAAACTTAGAAATGTTTAAGCCAGTGTTTCTCAACCTTGACAATTTTAAGGCATGTGGACTTCAACTCCCAGAATTCCACAGCCAGCATTGTTGAAGTCCACATGCCTTAAAATTGTCAAGGTTGAGAAACACTGGTTTAAGTGTACCCTAAGTATGATCATCTAAAATGCATTTATGATTCAAATAAGTCACTTACGGTATCTTTATTTCAATTACAGATAGTCCTTGAGTTACAATCACAATTCAGCCCAAAATTTAAGTTGCTAAGTGAAACATTTGTTAAGCGAGTTTTGGCCCACTTTATGACTTTCGTGCCACAGCTGTTAAGTGAACCATTGCATTTCTTAAGTTAGTAACATGGTTGTTAAGTGAATCTGGCTTCCCCATTGACTTTGCTTGAAAGAAGGCCTCAAAAACTGATCCCCTGGAGTCGTCATAAATATGAACCAGTTGCCAGGCATCTGAATTTTGATCATGTGACCATGGGGATGCTGCAATGGTCGTAAGTGTGAAAAACAATGTTTGAACAGTCGCTAAATGAACTGTTGTAAATCGAGGACTACTTGTATATAACAGTGATTCAGATAGTAACACTAAATCCTCTAAAAAAAGAGGTGCCCTTTGAAAGACCAACCAAATTACTACTGCATAAACTTTGTGGATCTCCATTTACTCTCATAGATGTTGAGACTGACCCGTATTTTTTAGAAATGGAAGAGTTAAGATGCTGCACAAAATATCAAGAATTATAAATACAGGTTTATAAAAGTACCATCCTACTTTCCTCAAGGAAAACAATGTCAGCTCCTATCCATTTTTCTTTAACCAATATAATTTCCACCTTATAGTTTATGAGGCTTCTTAATGAACTGTTTAAACTTAGATATTTTGCACTGGTAATCTTTAACCATCAGTAGCAAACAAAGTCTCTCAGGACCTATTTCACTGATTGAGCTATAAAGTGATATCAAAACACAATTTGGAATCATTATGTATTTACATTTTTAATATCTGTTGGTATTTGTGATGCACTAAAAATAACATTGGTAAACCTATGTATGTTTTATTTAATAATCACCTGGGGAACACCTTTCCTTTTACACTTAGGCTTACTATTTACTGAACGGCTGCCAGGAGTGACTAACAAAAAGCAGGCTTTATCTTAACTCTCTTCAGCAATCAAGCTAATTAAAAACTTTGCCTGAAACTCTTATTCACAGCCTGTCAAACTGTCCAAGAATTTACAGAATGCAAGTATAGTTTGTCATCTCTCCTCAATGTGGTTTAACTGGAAGCATACTTATTTAGTTCTTAAAATTTCAGAGACTAAAATGCTTTCCCAGAAGAAGTTAATAATAAGACAAAATATTGATTTTTAAAACACATTAAAGTTATTTCTATTCCAACATTAAAATAAGGTGTCAAGAATTATAGTAATAACATTGTATTGCTCTATTACATTCACTAGTTTCACTAACTGATGCTTAAGGCTATCTCATCTCTAATTGGTGGCACATCTCCTGCCAGTTGTTTGTATTAAAACTAATCTCCAAGAAATAGAAATTCAGATCATATCCCTCATTGTTGTTAAGAATTTTCTAGGTGTTAAAGTATATTAGATAAGTGTTCACAGTTTAGACTTAGGATTTCTTTGTTGTTCAATTAGAATCTTTATCCCTCTTTTGTAAATCCTTTATAGTTACACTCTCAATTTTTAAGCTGGGAAAAAGCTAGGGTATAATGAACTAAAAACATTTGCTTCAAAACAGTGTCTTTTACACAATACTACCACTATGAACTACTACTTTTTAAAACCCTATTTGAATGTGCTTCAATATTTTGAAGACTATGACTCAAGTTCAAAAAACAGAAAAACAACTACTCTAAAAAGGAGCCAGCTAATCAAACCCAAGCTTTGGAAATAAGCTCTATTTGCCATGCAACATAACCATCAATGAAAGAACCTTCTAGGAATACAAAACATTTAAGGCACTTAATAATTTCTCAGAGCCTACCTTCATGACACAGAACTGTTAGAGAGAGCATGGAGTGTTTTACTGTACACAGCCCTAAAAGACTAAACAAAACGGAGTTGGTTTATTTTATGGCTTTCCCCCAGATTTATGCAGCGGTGCCTCCCTCCTCTAAACGTTGAATGTGTTGGCCAGCAAGTCTTTTTCCAATATAGAAAAAAAAAAAAAGCATCCTCCAAGAACATTTCCCGAGTCCCTGGGCTCCATTTTTCAAGAATTAAAACCTGTACGGTTTTCCTGGGGTGGGGGGGTGGGGGCAGAGGGGACAGTCAAGGACGACAAATTCTAGATAGGAACAAGATGATGACATTTCCTACAGGACTTACCATTTTCTTAACTTCTAGCCAACTCGGAAGTATTTTTCCCTGTTTTTTTCTTAGCCAAACCAAGGGAAGGTTTGGTTATGGCTCAGCTCCGGCGTGCGTGCACTCGGTGCGGGAGGAGGAATGCATCAGCCAGAGTTAGCTAAACAGTCATTTAAAAAAAAAACCAAAATGCGGAGGGGAGGAATAACGAGATGAGCAAACTGGGCTGGCTTCGTCTCACTTCCTTCTCAAAGTAGACGCAACAGACTAGAAGCACGTGGTAGCACCTCGGGGGGGGGGTTAGGGCAAAGGAGACGCCGACGGTGGCCTGAGGGGGTCAATTACGTACTATAGCGTTAATAACTGGAAGAGGGAAAAAAAATAAAAGAGTATGAATGGGGCCGTTACCTGGGAGCCGCCGTGAACAGGTCTCTGCCCACTGCCGCGGTGTTGGCCACACCTAAAGGGTGCCGTGCCCCACGGTGGCGGCGGAGGCTCCGGCTCAGGCCGAACTCGTTCCACTTCCGTTCCGCGTAGCCTCCTCAGCGCCGCCGCCATTACGGACCCTCAATTAGCATTTATTTATTTATTTCCCCCCCCTTTGTAAATCAATGCGCCTGCGCACCAGGCGACCAATCACAATGAACAACCCCCCTCTTCGGCTTCGATTGGCTGTTTACGATATTCCCGGATGTAGGGAGAAGCGGTACGGTTTTGCTAACCTAAAGGAATTCAATGCTGCTGCTGACGTCAATAAGCGAGGACCGCTCCCCAACGTCACGGAAAACGATATCCAATCAGCAAGCCTGGTTTAAAGAAAACTTTCAATTAACTCTTAAAGCGCCGGGGAAAAAAAAAGGAATTGGGATTTTGTTTAGTCTCTCTCTCTCTCTCTCTCTCTCTCTCTCTCGTCACTTGTTATTCATTTTACATAGCAGAATTTGCCTTCAAACTTTATTTTGAAAGAGGAATATTGTCATGGGTGGAGCATAGTTTATTCCACAAATTTAATAACAAATCTGGAGGGCCAATGGAGGGTCCCCATCAAAACAAGACTGGGGATAAAACAGAAATTAAATAAGGTTGCGTAACTCAGAAGAGAAGTTTGAAAGGGATGTTATGCCCAGGAATAGTTACTACTTTCTTTTAAATAGGTTTAAAATATAGATTGTCTCTACTGTACATGTTAAGGAAATTCAGCATGTGTTCAGCTAACGGAGTTTGCAGTGGTATTTGAAGCCATTTTGACCATTACATATATATCTGGAAGGGAAAAGGTTAGAAAAACTGCATTTACAGTCAGGGTTTTCTCAGTCTTAACAAAGTCAACCACACTAGAACAAATGATATACAAATATTTGCATGTTTTTCACCTTCTATTTTATCCTTAAAATGAGTAGCAAACTGTACATATCTTTACATCAGTGATAGACCAGTATAAATATCACAAGCATTTAGCAATAATAATACAATCTATCAGATACAAACGATACCTGAAAGCTAGGATTATTAACATAATAGTGTAATATAAAACACTATTTTAAATAAGAATTCTTAGTACTCTTAATATTATTGAAAAAGTGAGAATAAAAACAATAGAGCCAGTTTAATGTAATTTTAAGGCAGATTACTGGGAGATTATTAGTTCAGGTCCCACCTTAGACTCAAAGCCAGCTAGATGACCTTGGGCCAGCTCCTTTTTCTCAGCCTTAGAAAGGAGACAAAACTCCTTGTGAGAAATCATGCCAAGAAAACTGTAGGTACTAGTCCAGGCAATCACCTGGAGTAGAGTAATATAAGAGCAAATGGATAAAATTAATGTGCAATAATAATCCAAGGTTACCCAGTGATCTTCAGGCTGAGTTAGGATCCTGCAAGCTTACTGCTAGATCATAATTTTGTAACAGGGATCATAGATCATTAATGATGGTTTATTGAATAAAATACATTAGCTGGACTCCCACTTACTACAGACCAGAACATAGCAGGCTTCCCACAGCAAACCAGGTTTGCACGTGCTTTGCTGGCCCCGCTGCAGCCAAGCCCAACTCCCGGAGCTGGTGGTTTATGAACCAGCTACCCTAAGCGAACGTGGGCCAGCTTTACTATGGTTCCCATCTCGCGCAACCCTCTATGCATTCAAAACGGATGGTCCAGGTTCCTTATGGCCGGCGGGCGCAGCTCAGTTGCCTTCCCGATCCCCGCCCTTGATTGCGCTCCAGCCAGCCAGCCAGCCGGGCGCGGCCGCTCCCGACCCCTCCGCCCTTCCCTGGCCGCTTATTTAAGGGTCGAGGCCGGCGGCGCCAGCCTCTCTCCTGGGAACTCCGCTGCGCACCAACCCGCCGCCGGGCACGGGTTCCTTTTTGTCTCCCCGCCCCGCCGGAGCTTGTGCTTCCGGACCGGGCGGGGAGAGGCCAAGAGCAGGTTCCGCTTCTCCCAGGGCCGATGCGGGAAGCGCAGCTTCCGCTGCGTCCGGGGGAAAAATGAATTACATGCCGGGCACGGCCAGCCTCATCCAAGACATCGACAGTGAGTAGCGCGCTGGGCGTCGCGGCTCTGCGCGGGGTCCCTTTGCGCCTGGCGGGTGGCTCCTTACAAGCAAACAGGTCTCCTCCTCCTCTTTTTCTTCCTCCTCGGTTTCAGACCAGCTTTCTTTCCATCTCCCTCCTCTAGATAAATGCCTTTGCTTTAGGAAATGGCATGGCACTGGTTTAATTGCCGCTGCCCTGCAACCATGCTGGCATGCATGCATGCATGCTTGCATGGCCGCAGCAGGCTGGGGTTGGGCCATGAATACTAAGGGGTTGAAAAAAGGAAAGAGACCCCCCCTCCCCAAAAGAGAGGGGTGGAAAGCTACGTTTCTTCGGTTTGAAGGATTTGCGGCTGGCGAGCGTTCCGTATTGTAATAGGACTCCTTTCTGTTTTGGAGGGTGTGTGGAGGATCTCTTGGCACTATCTTCCTGGGTTGTTGTTGTTGTTTTTTTTTTAATTTCCGCCTTGGAAATGGCTTGTGAAGGTTTTAACCTGCCTTTCTGTGGGCCCCCGAGCAAGTTAATTGTAATCATTGTTAATGGGATAAGCTACACTTGGGGAGTTTTGCACAACGCCCTAAGTTATAAGCCATAGTTTCAAAGCTACTGGAAGGGTTGAAGCCTAAACTTACTACCTACCTACCTACTACCTACCTACGTACCTACAAGAGACACTGAAATATCAATCAGGCAACCCTGTTTTACACTAGTCTGATATTTTGCATGATGGCTTCCTTAAATGATATATTTCTGAATGGCTTTTACAGGTAATTTATTTTTCCGGTGCTGGCCAAAAGATAACCACACTTTAGATACATTTCTTATATAATTACCTGAACCACAAAATAGCCATCTATATCAGAGGTCCCCAACCTTTTGGGCACCAGGGACCGGTTCCGTGGAGAGAGGTTTTTCCACAGATCGGAGGGTGTGTGGTTTTGTGTGCTGCCTGCATCCCGTGGATGGGGCTTTGCTTGTTTGTGCATTCCAGTTGCTGGCATGCCACGGACTGGTACTGTTCCACAGACCAGGGTTGGGGACCCCCTGATCTATATTTTAAGACTAGTATGTTGTATATATGCAGTCCATATGGTAACTTTATACTACACTTTGCAAAAGAACCCCGGAACTCTGAGCTGAGTAAACCATAGTTTATGTGTTATAAGCACAGAATATGGCAGATTGCTATCACTGTAAAACCCAGCCTTTTAACCTGGTGTGAACTGGGGAGTTTTCAATTAACTTAGAGTGATTGAGGAAGAAAAAGCAAATCCAAGCAATAAAAATCAAATCCAAAGAGGCTAATTGGATCCCTGCACTTCTGTGCTTTTACAATGAATGTGATCATTCTTTATGATTCCAAATAGCAAACCTAAGTGATAAGCATTTTTGTAGAAAACAAAGACACATAACTAATATATTTTGGAAAACTCCAAGGCTTATAGACCTTCAGAACTGTAGAAAAGCTGATTCAACTCTCTAAAAGGCTTGGTTTTTGCAAATTAATGTGATTTTTCTTTTTTTTCCCCCTCTCCAGAGAAACACTTGGTTCTCCTTAGAGATGGCAGAACACTGATTGGATATTTACGCAGCATTGATCAGTTTGGTATGCCACCTTTATCTTTCCATTTATGTACTCTTGGGTGGTCCTTTGTGCATCTAGTACTTTGCCAAAGCTAGGAGTTGGGAAGAAAAAAAAAGTATTGAGGAAAGAACCAGGAAAAAAAAAAAGTGTGGCACTTTACTCTGAATATACTTAATAGCACATTACTGACAGAGTATACCTATATAGAGTCAGTTTGCTGTAATGGTGTTGATACCAGGATACTGGACAATGTCAGTTTTAGTCCTATCTTAGACGCTAACCCAGTTGGGGTTTCTCTTAGTCCTAGGAAGGAGGCATTGGGAAACCACTTGCAAAAAAATTGCCAAGAAACCTGCAAGGATTTGTCCATGCAGACCCCAGACATCAAAACCGACTCAAAGGAGAAAATGAAGAGTTTCCTGGATTAAAATCAAGATAAATGAGTCTTGAAGATTCTTAGGGTACCTTCAAAACAGGTTTGGCAGCAAATAAATTGTTATTCTGCCTTTGCTGCAGGAATTCAAGCAGTGTACATGGAATTCATTCCTCATATCTTTTTTTCCTCAATAACCCTGTAGAATTTTGTTCTGTGGCCTCTGGGGAAAAGCTATGGTTCAGAAGTCATCCCAGGCTCTCCCAAGCTTAGTTTTCATGCAGTATGTACTGTTCTAAACCATCAGTTGACCAGAAAGATCAGTCAGAAATCTGAGTATCCAAAACTGATTAATATAGCAGTGGATTAGTGTGAACTGGGGGAAGAGAACCGTGTTCCAATAGCCTTTTTTGCTCAATAGTGAACATCCCAAAATACCATCTCACTGGAACGCAGCAGCAAATAAATTTATTTTCAAAAGCAAGAGTGACTTTTGAGAAGCAGTCTTCTCCCCTTTAAAATCGGTACCTGGCCTGACATTGTGCTACTAAAATTCAGCTTTGCCACAGAGTTTGGTTTTCAGCTGTTAGCTGTTAATTCAGGCTTTCAGTACTGTACAGGATTACATAAAAGTCCAGTTTGCTGCTGAACTCTGCTGTACCGCTAGAGGGTAGCAAATACTACAGAAGATCAAGACTTAGGCATACCTCTAATTGGGTTTAGAGAGCTTCACTTGAACTTGGACAATCTGATTGTACGAATCAAAAAAGTAGTTTCTGTTCTTAGATTAGAAGTGCATTGCTGTGGGGCTGTTTATCAAGCTTGTTTTTCTTTGTGCAGATGGGAAACATCTGTAAAAAGAAAAACAGGCTTAGAATACCAACTCACATAAAATCCCCAGTGTTGTATACAACTATTTTAGAGCTTAGGCTAGTTTCGGTATACTAAGAATTGAACAAAAATAACAAGAGCCGGGATCGACCTAACTGATTTAGTTCAGAAGTCTGCATTTTTGGCAGAGGCCCAATTGGCCCTTGTCATTCTTTCTCTCCATTTTAATTTTTCTCTCCTGTGCTGCAGAAAGTTGGAAAGAAATTATATACAGAGACATGGGATTTTAATTCATACATCCGTTAAGCAGGATAATTGTCTAACAACTGATTAGAATAGGACAAAATTGGGTGTAGGATGAAAAGCTGCTAAAAGAAATACTGAGTTTGAAAATGGACTAGAACAAACGGGATTGCCGTATAGGACAGCAAGCCCCCCCCCCTCCCCTCCATCCAGCCTGGAAGATGATGATGCTGATTCGTTTTTAGGTGAGTCAATTTTGTAAGTGGGCTGAAAGAATGGGAAACATTGTTCAGTTCTCAGTATGTTTAATTACATGCATGAAAACCCTGCACATCTTTGGCTAGCAGATGAGTTTGTGTTACATGCCAGACTGAGTTTGGATTTGCATACCTCTGTACATAGACTTCCTGATGGGACAATAAGGGATGTCAACTGAGCTTTTGAATTTGCTATACATACGACTGTCCGAACAAAGACGACTACTCAATGGGAAAGCATAGAGAAATAGGCAGCTGGATCTGCAACTTAGTCATTCAGTCAAACAAGCACTCTGTGCAACTGTAACTGTGCTTATCTTCCTTCAGCTTTCCTTTCCTTTACAGATCTAAAAAGGTCATTAATGCAGAGGGTGGTTGTAAAGTTACTTTTTCATCTTAAGCGTGAACAGTTGCTAAATGAGTCAGTAGCTACACAAGGACTACCAAGGGTATATGCTTCCTTATGGCACATCTCTCCAAATGAACCATTCTTTGCTAAGACTTTACTTGTAAATGGCCACATTTACTTTCTTGATCCTATAATCTCCTGATTACCAAGCTGGGAAGCTTTTGCAAAATGGGGCTTGTTAAAAAAAACAACGGATTGTTCTCAGATCACCACAGCTGAATGCTGGAGGTGTGTACTCTTGGATTCACAAATGGTGCTAATGGAGAATTTTTAATTCTGACTTAACATGGAATGTCGCTTCAGCTATTTTGTTCCATGACTTAGAATAGAACACTCCACCTATTTTGTTTGATTGAATAGACTCCAGCTATTTTGTTTATGACTTAGAGTGTTGTATGAACTGTGGATTATTTAACAAACGGTAGTTAAGGGAACTGTGATCTTGAGAAATGTGCAAACACACTCTCTGAGCTTGGTTGGGGTTTTTTTTGTTAGACACTGATGATGTCACCTAGTTAAGTAATGAAAGAAAACAACCAAGCTCCCAAGAACAAAAAGGACCCCTAATGTCAACCCTGAGCTACAAATATTCTCCTTTGCTGGCAATCTAAGTTACGTATATGACAGTGTTGTGTCTTTTAAGGACATACCAAAATCAAAATGAAAGACCGTTAACATTTGCAAAAAGAACTACGAAGCAGTGTAAATTATCTCATTGTGCATGGATGAATAAAATAAGGTGAAGATTCATTGCTTACATGTTGGAAGAAGAGAAAGGGGTCCCACAAGTGCTAAATCGAAATAATGTTTCGAATGCTAAGACAACAAAGGGGAAATATTTGCTAATTACCGTAGGAGTATTTCGTTACCTCTTTAGAATGCAGTTGCACAGAAATGCAAAGGGGGAAGGCTGCAAACTCTTCTTTTACAAGCAGCCACACATTTCATCACTGTTTCCATCTTTGTTTCCTTCCTTCTCCGTGGACCTGCAGCAAATCTGGTTTTGCACCAAACAGTGGAGCGCATTCACGTGGGCAAAAAGTATGGTGACATCCCTCGCGGCATCTTCGTAGTCAGAGGCGAGAATGTTGTACTCCTGGGAGAAATTGTAAGTCACCAACTTTTTTTTTTTTCAAATAATGCAGATTTCTGCGGGCCTCTTGGAGCAGAATTCTGGGAGTTGAAATTCTTACATCTTAAAGTTGCCATGTTTGAGAAATGTTGGTACAACTTCCTTCTTAATTGACATTAGCTCATCTAAATTGGGATTACGGGCACTTGTAGGTTAATTCCTCTGGAGAGACCACAAGATTGGGGAAGGATTTTTAAGGATTTTTTTTTTATTCTTTAAAAAAGTAAAGGTTTTCCTGTCGGTCGTGTCAAATTCTAGGGCACGGTGCTTATCTCCGTTTCTTGGTTGAGGGAGCCAGAGTTGTCCAAAGACAGTTTCTGTGGTCATGTGGCCAGGACGGTTATGTGCCAAAGGTGCACAGAAGACTGTTACCTTCCCACCAAAGTGGTACCTAATTATCTACTTGCATTTACATGCTTTTGAACAACTAGGTGGGCAGGAGCTGAGGCGAGGACGGGAGCTCATCCTGTTGCGTGGAGCTCAGGTGTCAAACCCGGACTGTCAGCTCTCCAGCTAACAAACTCAGTGTCTTTAACCACTGAGTCATCACCCCTCCCACAAACACACTTTTTTCTTTATTCTTATTCTTTCTTGTATGATAAATAAAGAATAAGAATGTATGTCATGTATGTGTTTCGCTGTGTTTCACTTTGAGAGCGGGCAATTAAATTTCATTTTTGATGTGTGCCGTTGTGCCCACAATAAAAAAAATGACAACAAAGGTTATCTTATCTTAAAAATGGTATCTTTTGGTGCATTTTTAATTGAGAATTGTTTGATAAGGTGGAATAGAATAGAGGCGCTGAACATACCTGTACAAACCTAGAATTAAGAAGAAATTTACAACTAATCAGTGGAACAACTTGCCTCCGGAAGTTGTGAATGCTCCAACATTGGAAGTTTTTAAGAAGAGATTGGACAACCATTTGTCTGAAATGGTATAAGGTTTCCTGCCTGAACAGGGGTTGGACTAGATGACCTCCAAGGTCCCTTCCAACTCTGTTATTCTATTCTGTTCTACTGTATTCTGTTCTGTTCTATTCCTGTTCCTGGCATATGTGTTTTGTGTTTCAGAAGAAATTGCTGTTTCTTCCCAATTACCAGCCCTGAAATATTGATGCTTTTTTTTTAATTGCAGGACCTAGAAAAGGAAAGTGACACCCCTTTGCAGCAAGTCTCAATAGAGGAAATCTTGGAAGTTCAACGGGTAGAGCAGCAAACGAAGCAAGAATCGGACAAGTTAAAAACGCAAGCACTGAAAGAGCGCGGCCTCTCCGTTCCAAGGGCTGATACACTAGACGAATACTAAATATTTATCTGAACTGTCTCCCAAAGATTGAGGAGACTGTGTACTGAAGTGCCCAAGCGATGGACAACTATTTTTTTATTATTATTATTATTTCAGATTCCTCCCCCCCCCTCCACCCTCAAGGGCAAAAAACAGTTGGATCACCGTGACTTAAACTCTAGTTCTTCCCGTTTCACACACACACACCCCCAAAATCATTATTTTTGAAGATTAAATATAATCCAGCATGAATGAAGCAGCTGTAAAAGAGAATGCTGGTTTAGGACATTTTGTTTGTTTTTTGTAACGCAGGGATGACTTATGGAAGAAGTGGGGAAGGAACACTCTCTAACCTGTAAATAAAAGGTGATTCCAAACACTACTATAAGCCAAGGTGGAAGCAGTACTGAGAATTTGTCTTTTTTTTTCTTTTTTAGTCACCAGGACAATTGTCTAGGGCAGGGGTGGGAAACTTTGGCTCTTTTATGACTTGTGGACTTCAACTCACAGAATTCCTGAGCCAGCCAGGAGTTGAAGTCCACAAGTCATAAAAGAGCCAAGGTTCCCCACCCCTGGTCTAGGGGGGGACAAAGAAATGACAAAAAAAAAATACTTTTCTCTTCTGAACTGGGCTGATGGAGACTTTAAAACCCTCAAACAGGGAGAAGGTTTGACCAGAACAGCTGAGTTATTCTTGTTTGTGAAGTTCTTGGTGGTTTCTGAGCTTGGTTGTTAGCTTGCAGATGTTTCAGCTCCAGACCAGGTAATATCACTGATGAAGATGTAACATCTGCAAGCAAAAACCAAGCTTAGGTGTAGCACCCAGAATTCCATAGTTAAACCCTGAGCTACAGATACTCTCCTATTGCTGAGGGATGCTTGGTGCTCTGTGAGCTTGTTTTCTTCCAGATGTTTCATTAGCCTAACAAGGTAACATCATCAGTGCTAGTAAGGAGTGTTGTTTGCTGTCGGTTTATATTCTGGTGTCTTGCCTGTCTGTGTGGGGCGGTCTAAGGGATGCTTTGGTTGGGCTGTTTAGTAATGGCTCTTTTGCAATTTCTTGATTGGGGTATTGCTTTACTTGATTGTTGATCTGAAGGTTATTTGTCTGAATGTTATTTGTAAGATTGCAGAATAGGGCCTTGGAGGTCTTCTAATCCACCCCCTTGCTCAAGTAGGAAACCTATACTATTTCAGGCAAACGGTGGTCCAATCTCTTCTTGGAAACCTCCAATGATGGAGCATCCACAACTTCTGGAGGAAAGCTATTCCGCTGATTAATTGTTCTCAGTGTCAGGAAATTTCTCCTTAGTTCTAGGTTGAATCTCTTCTTGATAAACTTCCATCTGTTACTTCTTGTCCTGCCCTCAGGTGCTTTAGAGAATAGGTCACCCTCTCTTCTCTGTGACAGCCCCTCAAATATCAGAAGACTGCTATCATGCAGAGATTTCAGCAAGAGCCAAACATTGATTTTATTTGGGAAAATGGACACGTCTCCTTGCAGTCTGTTACTTGGTGCAGCAAGCAACGAATGTCTACTTGAAAGGTGTGGTTTTCGGTTTCTGAAAACTAGTCATAATTAATCTGCAGAAGTAGCTTGAGAACGAATAAGGTCTTTGGGAAGCAAAATGCATCGTAGTTTTCTTTAAGCAGTGGTCAAGACGTTGCCCACATGGCAATAGTGATGGCAAAAGATCTTTTGGGATTGAGATAGGAGGAAAAAACCTTTTTCTTTTCACAGATTTTTACAGCCAAGCAGTGGGCTTGTAGCGTTCTCTCAATTTAGTCTAATTTAGCTGAGGGCTAATAGCCTTGAATGCCCTCTGAATGGAACGGGAAAAGATAAATGAATAATACATAAGCTGCCAGTGTGGAGGACTGCCTACTTTTGCCTGTGATACATCCGCAGGTTAAAAAAAGAAAATCCACAGGGGGAAATCAAGCAGCCTGGAAACCTCTCATTCTGACTTGGTATATAGTGAAAAGATTCCCTGTGGCCACAGGCCTCAGGCCACTGTTTTAACCTGTAGGGTAGCTATAGATTTATTTGTCTCTGAGCCCAACCTAAAAAACCAGATAATCTAAAATAACACAATGATACCGTATTTGGACAATTCTGCATACAGCGGGGGCAGAATGCATCCATTTCCCCAAATCCTGGTTTTTGTCTTGCACATTGTGCACTTCTCCGTTAGCTTGGTTTCCTTCTCTGCTTCTCAAGAGTGTAATGCATTTAGTGAATGTTCAAAGTTACAGCGGCACTGAAAAAAAGCGACTGATGACCATTTTTCACAGTTAACGACCTTTGCAGCATCCCCATGGTCATGTGATCAAAATTCAGCTACTTGGCAACCGGTTCATACTTATCACCTTTGCTGTGTCCCAAGGTCACGTAATCCCCTTTTGCAATCTTCTGGCAAGCTGGATTCCCTTAACAATTGCGTTACTAACTTTATCAAGTGCAGCGATTCACTTAACAACTACGGCAGGAAAGGTCGTAAAATGGTGCAGAACAAACATCTCACTTAACAGAAATTTTGGTTCTCAGGTGTGGTCGTATGCCGAGGACCACCTATGCAGGATTTGAGGCACCACTAACCAAGTGGGGATGTACGTGTGCCAGCCCGCCACTCACATGGCCAGGTTGCAAATAGGCCACATCCTGGTAATGGGCCACGGCCCACAGGTTGGGGACCCCTGGCCTAAATGGGAAGACCCTTCTGTGCACGATTAAAACCAAAGTTATGGGGGCTTTCTGACATTCAGTTTACAGACCGTTGTAAGCTTGAGGGTGTGCGTTGTGTAGGCCAGGGGTCCTCAACCTTGGCATCTTTTAAGACTTGTGGACTTCAATTCCTCAGCATTCCTGTTGTAGGCACTAGAGCAGGGGGGTCTTCAAACTCGGCCCTGTTATGACTCATGGACTTCAACTCCCAGAATTCCTCAGCCAGCCTGCCTGGCTGAGGAATTCTGGGAGTTTGAGGTCCACCAGTTACCAAAGGAATTCTGGGAGTTTGAGGTCCACCAGTTACCAAAGGAATTCTGGGAGTTTGAAGTCCACCAGTTACCAAAGGGCGAAGTTTGAAGACCCCTGCACTAGAGAGCCAGCTTTTGCTTTCAAGCGCTTCCCGGCCAAAACTACATTTCCCGGCATGCACGCGAGAATCTTTTTTTTTTTTAAAGGTGGGACCGAGGCGATTACATAACTCTTTCGAACGTTGACACATCGGAGCCCTCCCCCGTGGGGCGGCGACGTCACCAGCCCGGGAGCCCCGCCCTCTTGGAACGTTTTGTAGCCAGTTTGATCGCTACGGGCTCTTTCTAGTATCCATGCTATTTCCTGCTGGGACAGAAAGCTTCCAGCGGTCTTCCTTCCTTTCTTTCTTTCTTTCCTTCGCTTTTCCCTCCCCTCCTTTTTCCCTCCGCTCCGCGTCGGCGTGAAGAATTCCCTTTTTTCACTCGATTTCCCCTTTTGGGGGAAAAAAAAAAACCCCAACCCCCCCCTCCCCACCGATCGGTATTTCTTGGGCGGGGGGCGCAAAGAAGGACCGCGCGCCCCCAATTCCGCCTGCACATCTCCCGGGGGCTGAGCTTTAGATTATTATCAATTAATTTAGATTGTTATTAATTTTTACCCCCTGCTCCCTCCCCCGGGCATGTTTGGCTGGGCAGGAGGGTAAGGGGAGGGGGGCTTTTTTCCCCTCTTTTTTTCTCAGCGCTGCTGCTGACCCCCTCCGCCCGCCCCAGGCGAAGAGCTTCACCGGCGCCGGAAAGCCGTGGGTAGGCTGGCGGAGGGGGGCGGGGGGGGGAAACGAAGGAGCGCGGCTAAGCGGATTTCTCTCCGTCTGGATTGCATTGCGGTGGTTCTTCCCAAGGTGGTGGTTGGGGGGTGGGGGTGGAGAGGATCCTGCTTCCCCCTCACGCCCTGCCGGATCTTACTTCGATCCTCTTGGCGAGACGCCGAGAAAGAGAGAGAGAGAGAGAGAGCCAGCGCTGGAGGGATGCGATACCTTGAGGACTAGGATGCTGGCGGCCTCTTTTTGTAAAACAAAAAAACATCTGGAGACGGCGCTAGCCTTTCGAAGAGGGCTGCGAGGAAACGGTCGCTTCTCCCCTCGAGCGGCTTGATTTTCTTGTCCGGCTCGCCTCCCTTCTCTCCTCGCTCCTCTTCCCCCCCACCCCCTCTTCGGGATTGTGTCGCATCGCACAGCATCTTCCAAGCTGGAGCACCATGGAGCTGGAGAACATCGTAGCCAACACCGTTTTACTGAAAGCCAGAGAAGGTAAGAGAGGGTCTGGCAGCCGAAGGGAAGCAGCGGCATGTGGGGGGTTGGGGGTGGAGGGTGGGAAGGGAGAGAAAGAGAGAGAGGGAGGGAAGGAAGGAGCCGGTGGCGCTTTCCGACGAGCATCGCTGCAATTGGAGTAGGGGGGGGGGGGAGTTGAGCTTTTGGCCGGCACTACAGTCTCTGGATGGAGCTGCATCCTGCAAATGTGTTTAAGGGAAAGGAATAATTTATGGAATCCTTGCATTATTATTTTTTTTAAAAAAAAGAAAGCATTGTGTGTGGCTGTGCTGGAATTTACACCACTCTTCAGTCACAATCTCCTGAGGTTTTTATTTTCACAACACTCCTGCAAGATTGGCTCCTCTTAAAGGCAGAGAGGTAGAGTCCATCCTCACCCAGTAAGACTGATGACTTGCGTAAACCTTTCAACCATAATTCTCACCCTATATATATATATCTTTGTCTGAAAGAGTATAGGTTTCCTGCCTGAACAAGGGGTTGGACTAGAAGACCTCCAAAGTCCCTTCCAACTCTTGTTATTTTATTCTGTTCTGTCATTAAAGTGCAGCCAAAAGAATGGATCCAGAGATGTGGGCTGGTGGTGGGGTACTTTAGTGTGACAGGTCTAGACCTGGGGGCAGGTGATCGACCAAACCTCTTAATCACATTTACGGATATCTTACAAAGTTACGTTGAGGTTTAAATCGAAAGGATACATGCAGTCCATATTTTTGAAAAGTACAGTGGATTAAAAACCTTAAAGTTAGTTCCTGTGTTCTGTAGGTGAGATTTTAACTGACTAACAGGTTCTTAAACATATTCATTTGAAAATACATCCTTTTTAGATTGGCAGGCTTACTTGACAGAGATGCCCTGGCAAAATGCTACCAAGAATTGCTTTGTGGCGAGGTGGGGAACAAATAAAATGTGTAAGAGCATGACTTTAATGATAGCAGTGGTGATACCATCGCCTATTTATAAGCCATAAAATCAAAGAGCAAGACTTTTATACCTATTGTCCTTTCTTTGTTATTATTTTTTTAACCTGTTTTAAATTAAGCATAGTGGATAGAATGTTGAATTTGCCTCTGGATTTAAATCCCAATTCATCCATTTATGCACATAATGCTTGGCCTTTATTCTACCAATGAGAAGGGGATTTGCCTACTTGGAATGCTGCAAAGATCAGCAAATTGAAGGCTACAAAATTGTTTGTTTCAATCGAAGAGAATATATGTGGCTCAAAGTTGGAGTCTTTGGTATTCGCTGATTTTAGTAATTTTCTTATAGACATTTCATTACCCAGCTTGCTAACATCAGCAGTGTGCTGGCGTTACCTAGACAAGTCATGAAGCAGGCAAACCACCAAACGTAGAGAGCACCAAACATTCCATAGAACAGTGTTCTAAAATTTATTTTTTTTACTCTAAGTATCAATTGTATCTGTTATCTTGTTTAAGTAGATGGGAATAAAGAAGCCTACAGTATCTTGTTCAGAGCTGAGCTCAATTCCTGTGTGTGGCCAAGACTGGGATGTCACATGTGTTACATTTCCATGGTGTGTTGCGATATCTCTGCTTTACGCAGATCAGTAGAGTCATGTTCAACTGTTACTTTCTCAGCGACTCTGCAAACGCCAAATAAACAGTGGCATGCTTCAGTTCAGTATAGACAAAACTACTCTGTGTGTATCTCCAACGCTGGCTGTTAGGGGTGGGAATCTCAGATGCCATTAGGTGTCAAGACTGCATTGCTGTTTATGTGAATGAGTCAATCACACAGGGTGGCTTTTAGAAGGGAAAGCCTAAGCTGTGTCTTCAAGGTTCCTGCAGTTGTTTTTCAGCAAGGTCACAAAGCTTTAGGGCAGTGGTGACGAACCTATGGCATGGGTGCCAGAGGCGGCACTCAGAGCCCTCTCTGTGGGCACGCGCGCCATCACCCCAGTCCTAGGGCTTCAGCTGGGTTTTATAAAACCTTTTTGCTTTAGGCCATGTGCAAAAAAAAAAAAAGGTTCAATCAATCAGTCAATTTCAACTTCTGGGGTGGGGGGAAGATCTTGCCAAGTTGGAATTGATTGATTGAACTTTTTAGTCCCACCCAGTCTGCGTTACCACCGCAGGCACACCCAGCAATTGGCCACACACACCCAGCACCCAACCATGCATCAGTGGGTTTTGGGTTGCAGTTTGGGCACTCGGTTTCTAAGAGGTTTGCCATCACTGCTTCAGGGCAAAGGATGGGGGCCTTTATTGATGGGGGCAGAAAAAGCGAAGAGACCACAGAAAAATACCTGGTATAGGGCAGGGGTGTCCAACCTTAGCCACTTTTAAGATCTGTGGACCTCAACGCCCAGAATTCCCCACCCAGAATGCTGGCTGAGGAATTCTGGGAGTTCAAGGCCATAGGTCTTGAAAGTTGCCAAGGTTAATCAACCACCCTAACATGGGGCTTTTCATTTACAAGCTTTAATTCAGAGGTGCTCTGGCAAGATACTACAAAGGCAGATATACAAGTCGTCCTCAACATATGACAATTGAGCCCCAAATTTTGGCTGCTAAGTGAGACGGCTAAGTGAATTTTGCCCCATTTTATGATCGTAGTTGTTAAGCGGAATCCTGGCAGTTAAATTAGTCACCTGGTTGTTAAATGAATCTGGCTACTTCGTTGATTTGTCAGAAGGTTGCAAAAGGTGATCACATGATCCGGGGACACTGCAACCTATCATAAATCTCGACCAGTTGCCAAGCATCCGAATTTTGATCGCGTGACCACAGGGATGCTAGCAATGGTCGTAAGTGTGAAAAACGGTCATAAATTACTTCTTTCAGTGCCACTGTAGCTTTGAACAGTCAGTAAATGAACGGTTATAAGTCGAGAACCAGGTCCTTTGCTATAATTTTCTGTAAAATTATACTGCAGAGGTCCCCAACCTTTTGGGCACCAGGGACCGGTTCCGTGGTTTTTCCGTGGACTGGAGGGTGTGTGGTTTTGTGTGCTGCCTGCATCACGCAGATGGGGCTTTGCTTGTTTGGGCGGCCTGGTTGCTGGCATGCCGTGGCCCGGTACTGGTCCACGGACCGGGGGTTGGAGACCCCTCCCTACTGGATGAGTGGATGGGGCAGTCAGGCCTTCTCAAGAAAAATTAGGAACTCCTTCACTCAATTCCTGGTTCTACAAGAGGATAAGAAAAGAGGTTTGAATGAGCAGCACAGGAAGACACAATTCAGTGACGAAATGCTGTTGTCCTCACATACCCTTTTTTTTGTTGTTAAAAAGAAAAATGCACATACACAGTTGCTGAATTCCTAAGCCCTTTGTAATTGTATAAATGTTGTAAGTCAGCCTGGGAATGATGAGTTTTGTTGAGTGGTTGACATTATGGAGGCATATTTGATCTCTGCTCCTCCTCAACCCTGGAAGATTTTCAGATGGAAATTGCCCCCACTTACAATTTAAATGTGATGTTTTCATCATATATAAGTGATATGTGGTCTTTTTTGTACCTGTGCTTCATTTTGTGGCACTGATATGCATTCCAGATCCACGTTCCTTAATCAGACAAGTGGATTCTATTGTTCAAGGCTTCATGGATGTGTGTGTGTGTGTGTGTGTGTATGTGTGTATGTGTGTATGTGTGTGTGTGTATGGAGGTGTGTGTGTGTGTATATATATATATATATATATATATATATATATATATATATATATACCTCCATGCTTAAAAAAAACATTTGCATTACATGTCTGCAGGATGCATGCTGTTTCCATCATGTCTGTTAAGGGCATTTATAACAATGAGGCTGTTTGTCTGAATATACATTAGCTTAGAGCACACTGTGTACATTTTAAAATGCCTCGGAATAAAATGGATGATGAGAACAATGATTACAAAATATGCAATTCCATAACTTAAAGTACTAGCCAGTTACAATCATTCTCAATTTTCCCTAGCAATTTTTGGGCAGGCTAGAAAGGAAGAATCTCTATTATGCCTATTAGATGTACAGGAGGAGAAACTCGAATTTTTTAAAATCACGATTGGTTCAACAAGCCAAATTAGCAACGTTTTTTGAGACTGTTGTGGGTTTTGTTTTCCATCTATTTTTAGTCACTGCTATGCACGTCTGTAAATTGTCAGAGGCCTGGGCAGAATATAGAAGCAAATCGTAAACCATCATTGCTAATACAGCTGTAGGAACAGGCCAGGCTAACCAGCCATGATCTTCAATTCATAGATGTAAATTGTGACTTGTGGCCTAAAGGTTCCAGTGAACCCTAATTAGACAAAACAAACCCTAGTTTAATGTTATGTGTGTAAAGCAAGCAATGATTAGCTTTGTCTGGATGAAACTAGACCCCTCAAAGAGACAGGAGAAGTCGGAATAAGTTGGGAACCTAAACTTTGTTTCTGATGGCCATGTTGACTAGGGAATTCTACAACATGAAGCCCAGATATCTGGAAGATGTCTATGTTGGTCTAGACCAGGGGTGGGGAACGATGACCCTTATATGACTTGTGGACTTCAACTCCCAGAATTCTGAGAGTTGAAGTCCACAAGTCATAAAAAGGCCATCGTTCCCCACCCCTGGTCTAGACCAACGTTCTCCAGTGTGATGTCTTCTAGATATTCTAGGATTTCCACCTGCCTCAGACAGTACGACCATAAAAGTTATAACCCAGATCATTGGAGAGGGGGGAAAAGAAATGATTTTTGATGTATGTAGTGTACTTCCATGCTGTAAGCCAGTGTTTCTCAACCTTGACAATTTTAAGGCATGTGGACTTCAACTCCCAGAATTCCACAGCCAGCAATGCTGGCTGTGGAATTCTGGGAGTTGAAGTCCACATGCCTTAAAATTGTCAAGGTTGAGAAACACTGCTGTAAGCCCATCTTAATGAAGAACTATGTTGAGCTATGTTGTTGCCTCAGGAATGGTGGTTCCATCTGGTTTGGTCTTCTAAGTTTAGATGTATGTAACTTAAGAAAGCTGTTCTAGTATAGTGGACTATGTTGGACTTTATCCAAGAAAAAACAAATTCAGATTATCACTGATAATCTATATCTGGGTGACACTAGTCCAGGGGTAGGCAACCTTGGCTCTTTTATGACTCATGGACTTGAACTCCAGAATTCCTGAGACAGCTATGCTGGCTCAGGAATTCTGGGAGTTGAAGTCCATGATTCATAAAAGAGCCAAGGTTGCCTACCCCTGCACTAGACTGTCTCTCAAGTTAATCTTGCTTCATAGGCATCTTGGAAGGATAATTGAGGAGGGCCAATATACCAAATTTTGTATACATTCTTAATCTCCTAAGTGATGGAGTGAAATATAGAAAGAAATTTTATTGTTGCCTTAATGAGTAGATGCGGTCAAATACTTTTTTTAAAAAAAAAAACCTTATAAAAGGTCTGGCTTTAAGATGGAATTACTTTACACAGTGAAAATTGCCTAAACAAATGGAAACTAACTTTTTTTAAAAAATCTAGAAGGTAGATGCATTCCTAATGAGAACCAAGCATTGCTGGAACCGAACATGGAATTCTTTGAAAGCTTTTTCTAGATGGGCTTAAAAACTATTGGGGACTTTAATGAATTATTTTATGTTGAAGTTGCTATTACAATTCTAAGCACAAAAGGAATTTCTCTGATAATCTTTTCAATTGTCACCCAAGTTTTCTTCTCTAGCAAAAGAGGCTTCATTTTTTCTACCTCAGTCTGAAGTTGCTTTAGAATCTCCTAAAATGTGTCTTCTCTGTGATTCTTTCCAGCCTACGTTCCTCTTTGTATTTTTCTCTGTTGGTTCTCTTTTGTCTCTTAAACAGGCCAAAGCTCTTTTGGGCAACTGAAACCCAAAGCAGTCCTGCAGTCTGGGGCATTTTAGAGCAAGTTGGCTGTATCCTAAAAGGCATTGCATTTTGTTTGTTTGATTCAAAACAGTGCATAGTTCATTTATTAAGTTATAAGAAAAAAGAAACAAAAGTTAGAAAACGGAGAGAAAGAAGGAAAAAAAATGTAAAGAAAGAAGGGGTGGAGTAAAGATTTCTGTAAAATACAAAATAACAATTGCAACCTCAACCTTTTGCTTTATGTTTCATAGCATGTAAGTCACTTCTTACAATAATGGAATCATTTGAATCAAAGTTTCATTTTTTTCAGTTTCAAGCAAAAAGTCCAGAAGTTTCCAAGCAGAAACAAAACTAGATAAATTCTTTTCTTTAACTAATCTCTGCTAATTCCATCACCTTTACCATCCAAGCTTCCATTGTGGGAATGAATGTATCTTTCCATCTTTGTGTATTTAAGATTCTCACCACTGTCAACATATATAGCAACAAAGTTCCAGATTTTCGTTCAAGCTCTTTGTCAGTGTGATTCTTTTTTCTAAGGCAGTTTTTCATATTTACCATCTGCTTGTTGCACCCAGTGTTGCCTGGATTGTCGTCTTGCAATGCTCCATTAATCAGTTAATTGGTCAGTTAATTGATTAAAGGCCTTTATGGAGAAGTAAAAAAAAAAAACAGTAATCACATGAAAATAATTTTCCTGTTTGGAACAATAGCTGACTTTAAACAGTGTTTCTTTTAATCAAATGTAAAATGTGCAGCTAGGATGCCATTTTAAAACTCCAATCTCTATCTTTCCTTATTTTGGAGAAAGTGTACAGGACACTAAATATCCAGATTAAAACAAAGAGGGGACAATTTTACAATGTAACGCAAAGGTAAAGATGTCACCCGTTCTTGGTTAAGTCTTATTAACTGCATCCATCAGAGTTGTGGAAGTGATTTGCTATACCCCTTTCCAAGAATTTTTTTTCCAATCCCTTCACCTACCTAACAACACTAGAATTCTCAGTTCATCTGAGTATTATCCAATATTGACTGGACTAATCGTGCTTAATATATCAAGATCAGCCAAAATGGGCTCGTTGTTGCTAAAACAACAGATCTGTCTGACAACCAAATTATAGATCAGTAAACTAAAGTTTGTTCACTTCAGAAGTGAAGGATTTATAAATCTACTTAGAGAGCCATAGGGTAGAGAAATTGTGTTTTTCAGTAAAACCAGGAAGTCCATCACCTAGACTTGGGAACAAATTACAGGTAGGCCTTGACTTACAACCATTCGTTTAGCGATCATTCAGAATTAATTACAGTGGTACTGAAAAAGGTGACTGACACTTAAGTGGTAAGTGGTCTTCACACTTACAAGCCTTGCAGCATCCCCACAGAAACATGATCACAATTTAGATGCCTGGCTACTAGCATGTGCAACTGGAATGGAATGGAATGGAATGGAATGGAATAGAATAGAATAGAATAGAATAGAATAGAATAGAATAGAATAGAATAGAATAGAATAGAAACAGGAAGAAGAAGAATGGAATGGAATAGAAGAGAAGAGAATAGAATAGAAAAGAATAGACTTAGAACCCCATCTATGCTTGTTTTTCCTTCTTTCCAGATTAACCAAATACAAAAGGGAAATAGAGGGCAACTTTATTCTTAATGAGTAGGGAAGAATTATATTTTTCTGCAAAGTAAATTTTTGATAGGCCAAAAGGGGATGACCTGGTTTCTCAGAATAACTTTTTTAGTAAAATTATTATAAATACATTTGTTGCCAGATTAGGTTTTAAAAAGTCCCACAGGAAAGGTTCATCATGTGTCCTCCATGGAATTTAACTGATGTCAGGAAAACTGAACAGAGATAATAGCACATATGCTTCCTTAGTTCACAGACTCCTTGCTCTTGGGTGAAATTATAGAATCTCTTTCTTTCTTTCTTTCTTTCTTTCTTTCTTTCTTTCTTTCTTTCTTTCTTTCTTTCTTTCTTTCTTTCTTTCTTTCTTTCTTTCTTTCTTTCTGCCATTCCAGATTTTTCGTCCCTTAATTTCAGGTTTGTGGAATCAGTGAAAATAAAACGAATGATCAGCATGGGTGAATCCTAAAGTTTGAATGGGTCTTTCTACTCCTCAGTGTGCATCTAGCCTAGGCATAAATCTAGCTTCAGTTCAGAGGAATAGTTTCTGCAGAGAGTTGAGGCAACATTCAAAGGTTTTTCTGCAATAGTTGGTTGAAACAAGTCCTCTACAAAACATAGTTTATATAGTTGGAATTATGGTGACTCACAGAATAGGTTCAAATATAAAGATCTATATATTAGCCTTCCCCATTCTGGATGCATATGTGCAGGTGTGAAGTTCTAGATTTTTTTTAGCCAGTTTAGACATTGCTAAGAATTCCAGGAATTGAAGTCAATAAAAGTAGAGACACCCAGATTGTAGAAGTTGGTATGTACAGTATATCAAGGTCTCAGTTGTACATGTGGACAACTCTGTGGGTCTAAACAAAGACTCTACAGAGCCTTTGGGATTTTATTTATTTATTTAATTTCTACGGCAACCCATCTCAACCAAATGACTGTGGGCAGCTTCCAGTTCTAAAGCGACAAAACAGTTAAAACCAATTTCCTTTCTATTCATCTTTTCTGCTCATCAAAGTTTTCTAGTTCCAAATGATTTGCTGTAATTGTAGAGTTTGTTAAGTGAGTGACATCGTTGTATCTACTTCCTGCTTGGGTCTTTCACAACTCTGATGTTTTGTAAGCGCAATTTCATGAATTTGGGGAGAATAAAGTTTTATATTCAACTGAAAAAATCTCTTGTCCATCTCTCCTATTTTTTTTTTAAAAGAAGCTCTAAATTTAATGATGTTAAAAGGGGGGGGATGGGTTAGTCTGTTTACAGACACAATTTCCTTTTGTGAATCTTCCTATCAGCTATGGACTGAACTTCATGTTCTCTTAAAAATATGTCTATGGGCTACAGGATTATCAGCGCTGTGTGAAAAAGAAGATTTGTGTTTCCTGCTGTGAAGCTGATTAAAAAAAACCAAACCATGTCCGCAAAGATGCTTCCCCCCCCCCCCAAGAAAGGAGCTTCTGTTGGTGTGAATATTACATAGGAGAGAATTAAACTGAATCTGCCTGTGTGACTGAGCTCTCCAAAGCAGCATTTTTTAAAATAATAACATAGATACATTACAAAGAAGCAGGATTTAAGACAAGGCTATCTAAGCTGCATGCAGAGTCCATATGTAAACCTAAAATGATCATTGCTCTCTTTTTCTTCCTGAGATACATTAGTCCTTTAGCCCACTCCCAGTCCTTCCAATTCCTATAATTTATTTGGACATCATTGATCACATGATATCATCAATAATATCCTGTGTGGCCTGCACAGCCTTTATATTTTTAAAGCATGACATTGTCTGCAAACTGCTGCTCATTCCTGGTTTAAAAAGTAGACCTTATTCAGACATGATGCTAAAGCAGAGGTAAAAATGACATCTCTAGATATTTGGGGCAACTCCATTGACCAACATTCCCAGTTACTGTCTATCTGAGTCAATCAAAGGAACTTGTATTCTGAAACATATAGAGAAATGGCTGCAATGTATGGGCTAGTGTTGCATAAAGCTAATCTAGGCAGGTTAATATTCTTCTTCTCCCTCCTGTCTCTTGGTTGCAAGAATGAAACTGAGAGATTTGCTTTCTGCCTGAATGCAAACCGTGGTTAACTCAAGTTGACTTCATAGGCTGCAACTTGATGGAAGAGCAAGAGCACAAGGTCAATGAACAGTTTTATAACCTAGTTCACACTCTGCATAAAGCCATGGCTTGTTGACTAAGCCAGAATTGATTATGAGTTACATGCACAGCCAGGGTGAAGGAGTTACCTTGAGAACCAAACTTTCTCAGGACAGGCATGTACGTTGTGTCAACAAACAACCATTGAACAGCTTTGAGGTTGAGAAAGTCCAGGGCAAAGAGTCCATTAAACCCTGGAAGGGTGGGAGGAAAAAGTCAATTTATAGTACAGCAAATACAAACAAGGAATTGCTCCTTCATGTTGACAGAAGGCGGTCAATTGTTTGAAGAAAAAAAAAATAAGTGTGTTACCTAGCTATGTGCAATGTGCAGACAGCCTTAAACCATAAAGCCATGTTGGGAATTTAGGAAATTCAGCCAAGCTCTTTTCAGCAAGGCTACGTAACCTGTGGTGCTCAGATGTTGCTGAACAACCATTTTCCAGGCTCTCGTTAGTTAGACCCTGATTTCTTGGAAGCTGGAAGCTGTGGATTCAGCAACATCTGAAGAAGTACAGGTTGCCTGCCTACAACTCCACGCTGAACAAAAATACTCTCTACAAACTACAGGTACTAGCTTTGCAAAACGTGCAGTGACTTTGTGCAGTGACTATACGGTGGTCCTTGACTTACGATCGCAGTTGAGCCCAAAATGTATGTTGCTAAGGGAGAAATGTGTTAAGTGAGTTTTTGCCCCATTTTACGAACTTTTCTGGCCACATTTGTTAAGTGAATCACTGCAGTGGTTAAATTAGTAACACGGTTGTTAAGTGAATCTGCCTTCCCCATTGACTTTGCTCGTCAGAAGGGGATGATGTGACACGTGACCTTGACCGTCATAAATACAAGTCAGTTGCCAAGCATCTGAATGTAAATCACAATACTGCAATGTTCCTAAGTGTGAAAAATGGTCATCAGTCCCTTTTCTCACTGCCACTGTAACTTCGAACGGTCACCAAATGAACTGTTGTAAGTCAAGGACTAGCTATATTAATCATAAACCATTAAAACAAGGGTTCAGGACCGTCTCTAAATCTATTGAGTCAACAATTGCTAGAAACCCTAAGCCACTGAAGCTAGTTTTCCCCAGCTCTGATAAAAATCACATCCCCGTTTTAAACATAACATTTTCATTTTTGAGAAGTTACTGGGCGTATCTTTAGTTGGTTGGTTAGTTAAATCAATGTATCCTCTATTCCTCATGCAGATGTTGTCTGAAACCACCTTGCCAGTACTGGAAAGGTCACATTTTTTTTTCCTTTTTTAAAAAAAAACAATTTCTCTTCCCCACAACCAGGCTGAGGCTGCTCCCCTGGAATTAAATGGATTAAATTAATCGAATTGGGTCCAAAAATTGAGGTGGAGGGAGGGAGGCTTTTTGGCCAGTTGTAAGCTATACAAGCACACATATAAAAGAAGTTGTGGGAGCTTCATCGCTGGAGGCTGTCAAGAAGAGAGTGGACTGCCCTCTATCAGAAATGGTATAGGGCAGGGGTCTTCAAACTTGACCCTTTTATGACTTATGGACTTCAACCCCCAGAATTCCTCAGCCAGGCACGCTGCATGAGGAATTCTGGGAGTGGAAGTCCACAAGTCATAAAAGGGCCACGTTTGAAGACCCCTAGTGTAGGGTCTCCTGTGTAGGTGGGAGTTGACTAAATGACCTGCAAGGTCCCTTCCAACTCTGTTATTCTATTATTCTAATATGGTGGAAGCAGTAATGTAGTTATGGCTTGCCGAACACTTTGTTTTTAACTATGAAAATAATTGTATCATTGAAGCTTTGAATTATTTCTTGGGTACAGTTTTATATTTTTAAACCCTGTCTTCTAGAGTAGTGGATGGCGCTCCCCTCTAGCTACTGGGGATGGAGGGCTGCTTTCAGCCGGAAAGCCTCCATATATTATGAATATGGTTCTCCTTACCGCTTAACATCAGAAAGCTTCCTTCTTCATCCTGTGTGTTCTCGTTTCCTGAAGCCTCGATCGTCCTCCCCCCCCCCCCCTTCTCCATCTAGTCAAACCTGCTGCTTTAGCTGCAGGGCAGAGCGTAGAGGTAATGGGGATGGCGGTGTGCCAGAGCAGAGCAGGAATGTGGTGCTTAGTACAGGTTGACACAGGAAAAGGAGACGAGCTTTGGAGTAGGGAGGAACAGCTGACAAAACCCACAAGTACTACTGTGTTTCCTGGGGAATGGGATTCATTCCTAGAACATCCAGGGAGCGCACCCAACAACTGAGAGGAGGAAACTGTGGCTCAGAAGCAAAACCTACACTTTGCAAGCCAAAGTTTTCAGTTCAGTTAAGTTAGGATGTCTATTGTTTCCCATTCACTTCGATGGATGGGAAGAATTAAGGCTTGTCATCTTGTTAGCCAAGCACTCTTCATCCTTGACAGTGCTGGTTGGAGATGCTTGTAGCCCAGCAACATGTTCCTTATCCCTATAGATGCATCCTATAGTAGCTCTTAGACCAGTGGTTCTCAACCTGTGGGTCGGGACCCCATTTGGGGTCGAACGACCATTTCACGGGGGTCGCCAAACAACGCAGTCCGCCATTTTTTCCCCCTTTTCCTTAGCTGTGCTACTCCCTTTTATTCTATTGGCTTTTGAAAGCCAATAGAATAGACTCTCTTGAATAGAGTCTAATTCTATTGGCTTTCAAAAGCCAATAGGAATTGTCCAGGCTGTCTCTGCCCTGCTGAGCCCGCCAAAAGTCCCATTCTGCAAACAGTGCTGCACCAGTTGAGTAGTCCTCGACTTACGACCGGTTGAGTAGTCCTCGACTTACAGCCGGTTGGGGGTCGCGGCATTAAAAAGGTTGAGAACCACTGTCTTAGACAGAACTTTGCCTGAGCTTCTAGAAAGCTGCCTCTGTTTGACTGATCCAGATAAGCAAATAAATAGACTCACAACAAGGAATCTAACCTCATAAACTTAATTGTAATTGCAAGTGTCCTCTGTGCCTAATGTCTTCTTGCTATAGCTTCTTGAGTAATTAGGTGCTGTCAAGTTGTTTTCGACTCCTGCTAACAACTCATAGATTTTCTCCACGAGGATCCATCCCTAATCCGATTTTTATTCCACATATTCTGCTTCCTCCCCCCCCTCCATCGTCAACAGTGAAATGCTATTCAAGTCAGCATGAAGAGTTGTATTCTTTCAAAGTTCACTCCAGTATATCATTTAAGGGAAAGGAGACCCTCTGATGTTCTAGATTTAATTTTGCTAGTTAATTAGCGCTGTCTCATTTGTCTTCATAAATGCATTCTGCCTGCAGGAGTACCTTCAACTACTCTATTGTGGCGGCCTGTGAAAAATCTGTGTGAGGCATGTAACTCGATTGAGCATGTGTGTGTCTGTTTTCAATGAAAGAGAAATGGAACACTGTCTTAGCACACTGCCAGCACCTGAAATTATGCAAGATCAGAACATTTGGAAAGCATTGATCAGGAGATGGTGTGCCCACAGATGGTACGCGCTATATTTTATTGGGAATGTCTGTACAGAGACTGTTGTAATGTGACCTACCACCTATAGCTGGGTGCCTGCGTGGAAATGTAGAACAACGGTGTGGTGTTCAACATTTGTGATAGCTAATTCTATCTCTAGAAGAATCATGCTTAAAAATAATTATGCACTATAGCATCTGGTACCTGTTAGCAGTGCTTCTGCATTTGCTAGCAATCAAGGGGGTGATGTTGGGTGGCATGGGTGGAAGAGGGGAAATCAATGTGATATGAGATGAAAAGAGCCTATTGTAGAAATGAATTGTAAAACCAGGATGAAACTAGAAAGACCTCAAAGATACAAAATCCAAATAACCTCTGGCTTAGACCTCACCTGTGCCACAAATTTAGGAGACCATTTTAGAAATTCAGCCCTTACCATCTTTTCACTATCCCCATGTAGGTGCCTAGAAAAATGGCGGGGTTCAAACAAGCATGCCAAACGTTAAACCTGAGTCAACCGAGTAACAAATGACCAAAGACATAGAACCCTAACTATGAATATATGCGATTCCAGGTTACATAAATCAACCAAACACAATCGGTGAATTTGTTGGCTTGTTTAGAAGTTTTGTCATCAGTCAACTCCATTTTGGCTGAAGATAGCGCATCGCACAACAGGCCATTGAGAATAATAATGTATTACATGATGGTTTTATATAGTTTTCTCCGACCTGGGGCTTGCCAGGCATGTAGGATTGTACAGGAATTCAATGTTCTTCCTTTCATATGCTTATTTCACACTCATAACTAATCTGAAGTCTCCCAGGGGTATGTTGGGATTTGAACTTACTTTATTAAAAAGAAATTTTATGTCTTTTCCTCCCTTATGATTTATTTAAATATGATTTATTTCCAGAAGTCGGGGATGCTCCATCACTGGAGGTTATTAAGAAGAGACTGGACAGCCATTTGTCCAGAATAGTATAGGGTCACGTGCTTGAGTGGGAGGTTGGACTAGAAGACCCCCCGAGACCCTTTCCAGCTCTCTTATTCTGTATACTGTAGTATCTCCCGGTGACTTTTGTGACAATATAAACCCTGTCTTCATTCCTGATACCTCCGCCAGCCAAGTACCGATTGGTTGACCCTATAAATCTCTAATAAGTGAATGGCTCTAGTTTGACTTTCTAGTAATTGTATTACCCCCACCTCAAGAAAAGGACTAGTGTATCACACAAAACTATTATCCCTGTAATTGTGACCCAAGTTGCTGAACTATAAGCTAACCATGCAGACTAGGTGAGAAGAACTCAACACTGTAAGTAAAATATGGGCGACAACTTTGTGTTTCAGTGTGCTGGGCAAACATAGCTGTGGAAGCTCATCTTATCTTGCTTGGATCTTAGTCTTTGGATTACACACATAATAGAATGAGGTGGTAGATTTTTGAGATGGTGGAATAGAAAGTTTTACTTGCAGCAAAACGATGATGTATTACTTAAAATAATTCCTTTACGTTAAAAAAAAGGAAGAAAAATTGGCAGATATCTGTCTTAACTCTGGTTTTCTTTCAATCAAAGATGTGGAAAATCTAGACATAGACACAGACTTGCACCGCCAATCTCTTCTCTTCTCTCTCTCTCTCTCTCTCTCTCTCTCTCTCTCTCTCTCTCTCTCTCTCTCTCTCTCTGTTCAAAGTCTATTTATGTCTCCTTTCTTATTTGCATTTGGATTATGTACTTCCCCAAGAGGAAGTAACATCCTTTGGCACATAGACAGATATCCTCCTTTTCTTTTCTTTTGAAAACTAAAGTTGACTTACCTGGGAACAGTCTTAGAAACCCTGTTCTCTGGTTGTTTAAGAGATGATATGGAAAATAATCAAGGAGAGAAGCAGCCTACCATAGAACTAGGGAGAAATTTCCTAACAGTGAGAACAATTAACCAGTGGAACGACTTGCCTTCAGAAGTTGTGAATGTTCCATCGCTGGAGGCTTTTAAGAAGAGACTGGATAGCCACTTGCCTGGAATAGTATAGGGTCTTCTGTTTGTGCAGGGGGTTGGACTAGAAGACCTCCAAGGTCCCTTCCAACTTTGTTATTCTGCTCTGTTCTGTTTATAGCTTTTTCAGACGGTTTTTATGTTTCATGCCTACAAATGGTGGGAGACCTTCCCCTTGAGTTTGACCAAGAATGATCAAGGGAGAGTCACGGATCAGAAAAATAGGGTTCGTTGCCTTGCATACAACTCCTAGGTTTCCTATTGCTTATTGTTCTGATAGCAAACAATGCAGCTTCTAGAGTCAAGCATCCTGCATGAGGGCATTACTGCTTAATACTGCCTGCCAAGGTATTGTCCTGAAAGGCCAGAGGACACATGAAAAGACTGATGCTCGTTCTCAAGATGTAGGACAGCTGCTCTTCAGACCATATGGAAACCATCACTCAGTAAAGGGCAATGTTCAAATATCACAGACTGCCATTCTCAGGGGGGACTGAACAGGGGAGAATTCTCAGTTTACTAAACTAGGATTTGTTTTTTGGTTTTTTTCAATCAGAAGGTTCTAATCTTTAAAGGGAACATACAGCAGCATGGACCAGAGACAGAACCAAGAGAGAACATGGGTGCCCCTTTCCTTCTCCTTCCAGCCGTTCCCCCCTCTCCTTACTTTTTTTCCCCCAACTCGGGGGAAATCATGAGAAAAATCCAATTCCTCTAGCCAAAATGCTTCATTAATGGCTCCCCACCTATTTTGGGGGGAGAAGGGCTCCCTTTTGGCCACCCCTGATGTACTCTAAACATCTCTCAGGAGTTGCACCATAGGGGTTGGAACCTTTGGGGTTTGGGTGGAAGGGTGTGAGAAAAGGAAGATGATAATGCAGGAAGGGTTGGTCTCCCTGTAGCATTTCCTGTCTTCTGGTCCCTTTCACCCAAGCCGGTCCTGAGTGTACAGATGTGCTGTACTCAGCACAGGCAGAGAGCTCCCCTTCTGCTGGTGGATATGTCGAGGAAGAAACAGATGGAAGAAGGCTAATGTCTTGCCATTTGGTGCGTGAGAGTGAGGATGCTCTTGCTGCAC